ATGCGCGCTTTATAGGGCAGTGAGATAGAACGTACAGTAAAATTTTAGTTCCTAGAAAATGTTTGTTTGCAATGAGTTTAGGACCAAACATGAAACTCATTAACCAATAACAAAAGTTACCAAGTAGATAATTAGGAACCTATTTCACAAACCTTTTAATTTACACTTGCCTAGTTGTTGTCAGAACTGTTCATTATTCATCACTCTTTACATCACTACCTTCCATTCAGAGCAAATGACCAGGATAGATACCAGCAGAAATAACACAAACGTAGCCTTGTCACAAACACGGGAAACAACCCGATATGTTACGCGCACTTTCCGCCGTCCCAAGCAAGTCATGAGCCGGATCACGCAGGGAGGTACGGGCTTGCTTGCCGGTGTGTGGTTTAACTGTAGCACGTAGACCGACACGAAACGGATGCATACGACTCCACCAACATGCAGAAGATATATCACGCTGTTAGAATTGAGAGACAGGATGTTTAATTCGTTTTAAATTTATTTATTTTATCAGGTTTTTGTGCTCGTTTGATGGTCGACCTTTCGTAGATGACATGTTGCATGAAATGGCTTCCTTATTGGATTAATGGATGCGTTCACGATGTCGGCCTGAAATGCAAAACCTAATTATAATGAGTCCGATTTTCCTCGGCTGAACCTAGGGAAATAGGACCCTCTTCTGGTCACTCACTGTCCCTTTTTGTTGTAAATTTGGCCAGAAATTGAGGGGACGGGTGATGTGTCAATTGTGGCGAGGGGGGAGGATGACTTGCTCGGCCATGGAAATGTGAAAAGCTGCGGATGGGAATGCTGACACCACATGATGTATTACTTTCATGATGTATTACCTTCATGCAGAATCTTACATCAAAACGGCATATTCATAGCTTTTTATTGTTCTTTCTCTTTGAGTGCTTTTGCTAAAAATTCTGGATTCTTCTGTCAAATATTAAAAAAGATCGGTGTGATCTAGGAAATCTTTGCTTAAAATCTCAAAGAGGGACATTAGCTATTTTGTGTGTATTTATTTCTGTCTATGTTTTTGTTGTTGTCGAACAACAAAGCATAATTTCATACGACAGTGATCGCTTGCACTCATGCATGGGTAATGTACAAAAGAATAATGAATGTTTATGAGTGCAATAGTAACAATAATTTCATTACATGAAACATTATATGAAACAAAATGTTTCATACAATACCTGCATAAATCCTCTTAGGTAGGCCTAGATCCCACTCATTGACGGTCGTCATTTTGCCATACAAATTCGTGTGGTTTCCATCCCGACATTATTTTCCTCTTTCTTACAAAGAATATGAGGTATGGAATGAGAGTGGAACCAGTCAAGTGAAATAAAGAAGTTCTATTCAATGGGCACCGTTGAGTCGAACAAATTATTCAATGACAAGTGATCAATGATCCGCCAATCAGATAACGGGGATTTATGCAGGTATAACAAATGATACAACACCGAATTCAGTTTTATTCGACTTGAAGTGAAACGCTGCTCTGTATACCTGAGTGGGATAAATGCGGGTGTACATAAACACATTTTTTTGCATATTTTGAGGCAATCTCTTATGTCATTTTTCCCCCAAATCTGACCATTCTCAAGAAAATACTGGGGAAATTACCCAAGAGAAGTGTTCCCGATGGTCCAACCACTGTAAAACATACATGCTCTGGTGTCTCACACGTCAAGGGATCAATGGATGAAGCAACAACTTAAATGAAACGACTTAATAAGGCAGAGTAAAATAAACAAAGTAAACAAAAGAAAAATGAACGCCCCAACATGAAGATTTTTCTAGAGTTTCGTTCATTTTGAAGCTTCGTTTCTAAGAAAAATGAAATACCCCCGTCATTGATCATTATTTAGGGATATAGAAATCTGTACAACACTCTCCAAGATAAACATTGGAAAGATTATTCTACAGCCCTTTTCATGTAATTACGTCGGATGATATTCTTCGCATAAGTTTAAAGTATAAGTGTAAATCTGAAATGTCAGAGACCCAAAACTGTCTTAAATGAACCCCCAAAGTAAATAGGGAAATGGTATGATTTACAAATTGAAGTTGTATCAATGATATCACTAATCAGATAAATGGTGAAAATGATTGCTTCTAAACGAATTATAAGAGAAAGTCACGGCTATATCACCGATACGCATCACCGCTGACTAATTTGAATGAATCAAGCGTCAAAAGATGCCCGAAATGTTATCTAACGATGCCACGAATGAATCATGGAAAGAACCAAGTCGAAATACAATGCGAAAAAGGAAAACGAACGAAGCGAAACAGGCCTTTTTTTTTCACAGTCAAGCTATCTTGTTCCCTAAATCTGTCATATTCAGTGCCATTTGTTAAATGGGTTGGTGCAAGACTATTTTGGGTTCTAAACGCCACTTTCCTTTTTAATGTGGCTTACAACATATCTCAGATATAATTTATTACAAATTTTAAATTATTCCAAACAAAACCGGCATGAATTTTTATCTCGTCAATGTTATTTTAACTCTCGAATTCCCCCAAATGAAAACTTTAGCACACTTTCAATTCAAGATGGTCGACACATATGTCAATTGAATAGCTGATAGTAAAAATGGTATACCAGGCACGAAATGGGACAGAGGGATACCCCCAACAGGTCCAAACCCTATACACACTCCAGCCTATTGTGACCTAACACATCCCCCTAGATGTCTGAAAAGAATTCCTGAAATGCCAGTATAACAATGACCAACACAAAGGCAGGGGGGTTCTCTCTGTCCCATAGTTTGCATCAAATGTATATATAGAAAATGGTTTTTAAAATTCGAAAATCGGGCAGGTAAATCTCTCTTTTTGATATCTATGTATTTCATTCATTTTTTTTCGGTATGGTGACGACTATCCCCGCAGATGAACTTCTGCCTTGCACAAAGGGCTACGCATACAGATCAAAAGTCCACTCCACATCGCATCACCACATCACTCGATTGACATAACGGGAGTAAATCCTGGGGAACGAAGTTTATACCACCCCCACTGTTTAAAGAAGGGGAGATGGGTTATTGAACCCCCCATTTTTTTCTTGGTGAGAAAAATTTACGTGGATTGTAAAGAATTTTTGGAACTTATCAACACTGTAAAAACAAGTGTTCATGTTGTAACAGTTTATGAACGTCTTGTGGTGTTTCTAATTAAAAATGTAAAACGCTGTGGTATTTATTTTAAAAACAGATACACGTTAATAAATTCAGACACAATGACAGTTGGGTGTCAATAACAAGACACAAAAACACGTCTTTGGAGTGGTGGCACTGTCTGAACACCCAAACACGTTTATTTCTAAAAAGGTGTTTAATTTTAAACATTTACATATTTACATTTAACGCAATGACGCGTTTATAATGGGCGTTGGTGTATTCAATTGCACTGAATAAAGGCATAAATATGCCGTTCTTATCAAAAATATACATGAATGAAATACACATTTAAATACGGATGTAAATCGGCATCATAAACATCGTCCCCTATACAGTGTCATATGGTGTCAGCACCCCTCCCTCAGCTTTTCAATTTCCACGACCGGCAAGTTATCCTCTCCACAATCCTCCATCCAGACCCCCAATATCAGGCACAAATTGACGCCACCGCTTGAAATAGACAGAGACTTTTTAAATTTCCTTATTACTGAATGTGTACATATCACCATTTTGCATATACAAAGTAATCTCACATAATTATATTCATGGCGTTCAACCATTAGAAACGGTGCGGATGTGGGTAACATATTGTGCGGCGCAGAAAAACTGGCTGGTGAAAACACTGTCACATGACCATAGGAGCGCGATGCCGGCCGGTGGCGAAATTCCGTGCTGGTGATGAAAGGGCAAGGCATGGGCGTCAACAGGACAATGAAGGTATAAAAGGCGAAGAGGTTACCATTCAACGGGGAAGATGAATGAAGGTATAAAAGGCGAAGAGGTTACCCAGCAGTAACTGAAGCGACAAGCCTTCAACAGTGGAAGGTTGCAACTGGTGCTCGGGTATTTTTGAGCAAACCATTTCCATCCCCTTTTTATTTTTTGTTTCTTAATCCTTTTTAGGTGATCGACTGTATAATTCCACCTTTCCCCTTTCCTCTGCTCCTTCCTCTGTTTCTCTTTGATTTCCAGACATTTTTAAAATTAACTAATTAATTAATTTATTGTTAACATTTTATAAAGATTAACAAAGAAATTGACTGGAGTGGGATTTGAACCTGCGACCTCTGGAACACTGTACCAGTGCTCTACCAACTGAGCTATCCAGCCCTACGTTGGTGGCTCTTCTCATTTGTTAATCTCTGTTCAGGGGGCGCTAGCCAGACGCCATTAAACCTGAAACACGATACACGATAACACGATACAACCGTGTCCTCTTTGAGTGAACCCTGTCCACCACTTCCCAGGTTGTATCGTGTTATTGGGATGTGATCCCTGGCTACATGGTGTTTCAGGTTTAATAGCTTCTGGCTAGCACCCCCCCCGAACAGAGATATTGACTAATGGGAAGAGCCACTAACAGTAGGGCTGGATAGCTCAGTTGGTAGAGCACTGGTACGGTGTTCCGATGTCGCCAGTTCAAATCCCGCTCCAGACAATTTCTTTGTTCATCTTTATTACAATTTATAAGCACCAAGTCAGTTTCCCTATGTAGTTTCTTTCCTAACATATTTTCACATTGATACACTGCATGGATTTTAAAGCTGGAATGAGCACAAACCCTGATCAAACAGTCATCCCCCAATAAAACAGCTAAATGTTTTAATGAATAGAAAAGTCATTTCAAAGGGAAAATTGTACGTCCCTTCCTTCAGGAAGAGTTTAAAAATCCTCCAAAATCAGCCTCACCCGTGAGAAACGGGAAATTTTCAAATGTTTACACCACTCCCCGAAAAAAACTTTTACCTACCCCCGGAACTTTGATTTTAAGTCCGCCCTTGCACACCGATTTCCCAATNTCTCCCCGTTGGATGGAATATTCCGTCTATGAACTCAAAAACTTATTTCTACGTTCCATGATAGACATGTTCATTGGAATCAAATCATAAACATCTGGCTTATTTATATTGCGGACTGAAGAAAGATCGATTTTGACCGAAAACAACTTAAATAAATTATTTGTATCAACCTTAAAGCTCTCTACTATCAACTCAACGGGCTGCGATCTAATGTTGTTCCACTAACGAGTGACGACTGTTTATCGTGTACACACCTTCCTAGCTTGGGGAATTTTGATCGCATTATTTTCTGATGCCCGTTGACTGAAATGTAATTGGAAAAAGTCCATCATCAATATCTTTACATCAAGGCAATATCTTGAATAAATCGGTTTTCGTTCCAATTCTGGCAGTCCATCATGTCTGCAGATTGTCTGCTTACCATTAGATGAAGTGATTCAATACAATCCAGAATCAACTAAATTAAACTATATTCAACGAAAGAGTAATTGAAAATACATTAAAAACCAGATTGTAAACAAGTAAATACATTATTTGCAATTATAGTCAAATTTATATTATCCCACCAGTTAGCGGTGTTCTGTTATAGCCAAACGCTCATGAGTAGCGCCTTTCCGAAATTGGAAAACCATATTCTTCGTTTTTTGGGGGGGCCAAAAATATTTTTTAAATGGTTACCCCAAGACTTCTCCATAAGGAATATATTTGAAAAAGGGTCGTCTATTTCTTACCATTAAGCTAATATCGACCAAACAGATGACCCCTAATTTTCTTTGCCATTTGACCTTTAAAAGATTTCCATTATTCTTCCCCACTCAAAATTGTTTCTATAACGTTGGGGACTTATTTAAAATTTTCCCAAAACTTGTAAATCATTTTAACATAGTATTTGGGTTTGAATGTCTAACTCGGTTTTATTATTGATCAATCCTTATTAAAAATAATTCAGTTTTCAAAATTGATTTATATTGAAACAAAATCATTACGTATAGCAGCTATTATGCTACTTTTGATTAGTGTGATGAAAGACTTAGCACAGACACTAATATCAAGCACCGAGACTCTACGGATTTTTGAAACAAAAGAAACAAATGGAACACAACCAGCAGCTAAGCTCGGTGGCTGACTCGGAGAGGCATACCATGCCTGAGCAGGATATCGTAACAAGTGCAAGTGACCTTATTTAAACGTCGGCCATGTTGAAGCGAAACTTACGTTAACAGCCCTTTTCCCCCATTTTTTCCAGCTTAGAATACAAATGAAAGCAATAAAATAACACTTCATTACACATTAAGGTCCTTTATGCTGATGAATGATATCAAATTTGTGATGCAATATATCTTAATGTTTTCAGCCACTTTAACAACAAAAATCCTATAGCAGTGAGGTGGGACGTAAAATAAAATGTTAGTTACAAAAAGTTGTTAAGCTGCAATGAATTTAGCACTCAACGTGAAACAAATTAACTAATCGCAAAAAGTTACCAAGTGGATAATTAGGAATTGACCTTTTTGATAACCATGCGAAACTTTCCATTTTACTCAATTTTCCCGACGCTTGTAATAACTAGTCATTACTCACCATTCTTGACCACTCAGAGCAAACAATGAAATAACCACCATCAGGATAGATACCAGAAGAAATAAGACAAACATGGCCTTGTCAAAAACGCGGGAAACCACCTGCCATGTTATGCATTCCTTCTGTTGTCCCAAATGAGTCAAAAGCCGGATCACGCAGGGGCGTATGGGCTTGCTTGGCGGCGTGTGGTATAACCGTAGCACGTAGACCGACACGCAAACGGACGCACACGACTGCACCACCATGCAGAAGATATATATAGCTGTCGAAATTGATAGACAGAACGTCTAATTCATTAAAACAGCTTTTATTTGCAAGCTTTAGGTTAACAAAATCGCATGGTAAATGACCTTTCTTACACAAAGTGACTCAACTGAAAAGTTTGGATCACATTTGTAATTCGATTCACAATGTCGGTACCGATATGAAGTGCCTACATGTAATTAAAACGTGTCGGTTCAAAGCTGCAAAATCAGCGGCGACTTCACACAAAATTCTGATGTTTCAAATTATTCTTTTTTAAATAGGGGCTCATAATAATTTTGCTGGTGTGTAAGGGTCATGTAGGAAAATTGGTCCGGAACCTTGGACTCTATTTCAGCTGTGCTGCAACTGGAAAAGTGGTACCTGTATACTAATATTAAGTTTACACGGCTGCGGTTTATTAAAATGGGTCTTTGTGAATATCAGACCTCTTTCACAAGGAAGCCATTTTTTTAATCATGTCCCCTGCATTCATATCGTATTATTCAGTAGAAATCAAATGCGGTTGGTGCCAGACTGTTTGGACTCTATGCCGCACTTCAGTTTTTTAAAACGTTGCTCAAACTATTATTTTAATCATAATCACATAATCACATACTGTATTTTAAATCATTCATCATTGTAAATGAAATTTATCTGTAATAAATTACTTTCATTGCTTTAATTTTTATTCTAAGCTCCCCGAAAAACTTTATCCTTTCTCTCAAATTAATATGGCCCACCAGTGAATAAGGTCAACTGCAGTTAGTAACATTTGGATCAATACTTTGCCAAATACCAATTTTGTACGTGAAACCTAATCGGCATAGATTACTTACTGAGGATGGCAGTTTCGTTACCCACTGGCGGCATGTTCGCTGATATGAGCTGCTGGAAGAGAACGAAAGCGAGAAGATTGGTCATTCCCAGTGAGATCTTCTCCCCAGACTCAGCTGGCATCCAGAACACAGCCAGGGTGAGCATCTTGAGGAGGATCAAAGGGACCAAGATGCTGAGGATGTAGACACGTGACGCACGTCTCAAGCTCAGCGTGTAGACGATCTGCGGGTACGGGTACTCACAGCACTTGTACTTCACCTCGACTCGGCTCACATTGACGTTTTCCACGTCCCAGACGCCGTTGGGGTTGTAGATCATTTGCTTGCTGTCCTCGTCCTCGAAGAATCGAAGATTGATGTCAGACATGTCGTAAGTCCAGGCCATGAAGGTCACACTGCACTGTTGGATATCAAAAGGGAAGTTCTTGACGTGGACTTTACAGGAGGTTTTAAGCATCACAGGCGCGTACCAAACTGCACTTCCATCCGCAGTGATGATAATCTCTATCTCCTTGGCGTTTGAAAAGTCGAAATTTACACTAAAAATGCAATATACAATATATGCACTGTTTAGTAGACTAAAAGTGATAAGGTCTATTTGAGCATGTGTGATGAGCATTTGGTGTGTCCTTAAAATGGAGGTTTTTAATTTAATTTTTCAATTTTGAAGTACGAGAATTTCGCAGTATTTTTATTCAATTCTTTATGGGTTGTTTCTTGTCGCTTGTCCACAGAAAATAACAACTTTAAAGCCATTTTGAAAAACATTTATACCGAACCAATCTGAGATTCTTCCTAAGGAAAAAGTTTAGACTTGACGGTCACTTACTTTTCCAAGATGACGAGTCTAGGCATCCAAATATCTGACGGAAAGACATGTATCACATTTTGGCCTCCATAGTCGTCAGGATTCCAGACTAGTAACTCATCTCGCCAAGACTAAAAATGTAAGGTCAACAGAATTTCAAAATTAAATTCATTGTTTGATATTTCCCCCTTGTTTGGAATGGAGGAATCAGGATTTTTATGGCGATTGTTCTCGGACAGAGAATTTCTGAAGTAAACAATCATATACAGAAATTATCCCAGACTGTTAAAATCGTATCCTCTCACGTGACATTTCCAAAGGTGCGTTCACCATTTACAAAATATAGAGGAGGGATGCCTGGAATTTTAAAAAAAGAGGTCGCCCTTAATGGAGGTGAACCCGAGTACATGAGTGGGGCGTAATGTTCGTGATAATTTTTGTCTTGAGATTTATTCTAACAATCAAATTAGAACAAAAGAAACATGGGAAGATAAAGTCCTTTGAAAACCGAACTGAATCTGCTGCTAGGCAGATCCCCAGTCTGTCTACAGCTACGCTCTCGTTACATCTTCCACTTATATCAAAATGGAAAAGTCGCATGTCGTGCGAAAACTAAAGCATGTGACTTGATGCTGATTGGTCTTCAACTACATTACTCGAGTGTAAACGCGTTTGACGAGGTCGTTGTTCACAATGTACCGTTACATTTTGCCACAAAATTGTTCGGAAAAGAATCTCTAGAAACAAGACGAAATGAACCTACCATCTTTTGCCAAGCATGTATCGTCAATTTTTGTTCGGGCTCGTCCTAAGGATCAATTAGAAATGACACGTTGAAGAAAAAAAGAAAATAGAACGTTGTGCTTTTAGACGGACAATTTGTCTTTTATCTATTTATTCGCAAAACAATACCAGCACAAGGAAACCACTGAAGAGTTTATGTGTTTGCTACAAAACCAAGTGAGTAATTCATTCACTGTAGTATACACCGTGTATTTGTTTAAGTTTGAAGAATCAATGAAAAGACAAATTAATTCAACCTTACATAAGACGAATGTCACATTAAAAAGGACCCAGTTAATAATAATCAAGGAAAAGGTTTACTTACAAAATCTACAAGTTGTGCAATGAGGAGGCGCAAGGTGACATTGAGCGGACCAGACGAATTCAAAGTGGGTATGACACTGCGAGATCCATAGTTCCTCTCTATATAATTCGCTATAATATCTTTCTCAAATTTCCGGGATGCTAACGGTAGAAAAATAAAAAATATCTTATTTTCTACAAAATGTAATGAGCTGATGACATATCAAAAGTATTTTCAGCCATCAAATCTTTTTCTAATCATTCAGCTTTCTTGGATTTAGAGAAGTATTCGCAAGCTTGCCAGGGAAGTAACTGTTGCACCACAGACGAATCCGGTGACCATGGGTATCATGTTGTCACCGGTCATTTGCAGTAGCCCTCGCCAACGCAGTTACATTGTCCTGAGCTATTGTTCTGTGACTTTCGCTCTGTACAAAAACCCAATGAGGTTTCAAAGCGTACGTGAAACCGTCGCGACGGGGGCACGTTGTTGTCACAATAAGAAACTGTACACGATAGGCTCGGCCCAACTTTAGCCGTTCTCTTTCTTGTAATGGCGTAATATTCATGTACATGTTCCGCTCTGCCCTGAGAGGACGCGCACAGTTAATCCATGGAGGAAGGACACAGGCTAATTCGTACCATTTAATACGTACATATACATGTATAATGCTAATGCTGGACACGTGCACCTACGAAACAAAAGTAGTTGAGCGGACAAAAGTACGTCACTTGAATACAGCTTGTGAAACGCGGCTCTTGGAACAACGTTTCACACCAAGGACAATGTGGATTTTTCATGAAAATAAATGGAACGAATGAATGAAGGGTTGAAATTCCCAATTCAAAATATTCTACACTAACTTAAGTATATAGCAGATTACTTCATTAATTATTTTAACAAAGGTTATTGCACCTCTCAAATCAATGTAGCACTAAGTCTTGGTCGAGGTTTGTGCATTTGCTAGCAACATAGATCGCGTTTTTGCAGCATCGATGGCCTTCGTTTCACTGTCCTATAATTTCCTCCTGGTGTTAAGTGATCCGCCATTCAATAATGTGATAGACGAGGAGCTTGTATCTCTCTGGAACGCATTTGGTGTTTTATTTAATGGATTTTTGTGTTCTAGCATACTTGATTTACCTGCACCCAACCCAAGACTGCACGCTCTTCTGTTCCCTGATTTGGTTGAGGATGTTCAAGTGAATCCAAGAAACGTGTTTGATGATCTCGTGAGGGACCTATGTTATTTCGCTTGACTGGAGAAATCCCTGAGTCGATATGGATGACGATCTTGATCTTCATCAGAAGCCTATACTGCACAAATCGCCACAGATGTTGCTGTTAATGTGCATCACCCCCATTGCTTGGATATCATCTTACACTGCATTGAACGTGTTCACATCTGGTGCTGATTTAATTGCAGATGGCAAGGAAATTCCACTCAGACAGCCTTCTATCACGAACCAGGACGGAGACATCTACATCGCCCCGTCAACAGAATCCTCATGGCATTGATATGGCTTCGTCAGTACCCCACATATAAAAGTCTACTCAAAGTGCTCCTACGTAGCTGATTATCATTTTATGTTGTGTTAAATGACCCTTTCCATGAGTCGCTACATGATAAGTATCTTGTTAAGAAATGCCTTCCAACGTCTCGTGTCATGGCTTCCTTCACCCTCCTCCTCAACCGTGCATTGCTCCTCTGTTGATACAACTCGGCAATGGGACCTCGTGGAACAGCGTTTCGTTGGACATAACTAACAACACGGTCCCAACGAGGGCCATAAATGTTGTACCCCGGCAAAAATAAGATGCCTTCCATCTCTGGAAATTTGTACCCGAGGTGCGTTGGGATCCATTTCAACTTTATTGCTGGTAACAATTACCTGGTTTGAAGACCCTAATATCTACTTGCACACCACGCCTGTGCTTTCTTTGTCCCAACCAAGTCTCATTTGACTGTGAACACCAAGGCTGAATATCATCAGACGGTGCTTTCTATGGCTTAATTAAATCTCATTTGACTGTGAACACCAAGCCTGAAACATCAGGCGGTGCTTTCTACGGCCTAATTAAATCTCATTTGACTGTGAACGCCAAGCCTAAAATTTAAACGGAGCTGTCTGTGTCCTAACCAAATTCCATTTGGACATGGCTTTGTATAATGGATCAATCTTCTGGTCTCCTGACTTATTACAGATAATTGGTCGGATACACCACAGAACTTTACGATCCATCCTTATCATGCCCGTAGCGACACATACGCAAACAATTGGCCGTCACGCCATCCCCCGTAGAGATGTTCAGTCGAACCTCGTTAATAAGAGGTCCTACAGACTCGGTAAATCATCTTGTTATAACAGTAACATTGCATTATCAAGAATGAAAACGATGAAAAACTAAAGTTCGGGACCTAAAAATTTTCCTGTAATAAGCAGAACTTTCTTTTAATATCTTATTAACGAGGTTCGACTGGATACGGCTAGTAAATGAGCTAATAAAACTGTCACATTTTGTTTATCGGTTCGAATTTGTTGTCGAAAACAAATAATTGCCATTGGATAGGATTAAAAGGTCGGGATACCGTAAATTTGCTATTATTAAAACAATTATTTCATTTTACACAATGTTGTTGGAAAGATTTTTGAAATATCACCACAGTCACCCTGAACATTATCTTCGAAAACGCACGCATGTCTACTGTTGATATGGCTATTGGTGGTGTTTGTGTCAATTCTTGTTCACGTATTTTTTGAGATTTTTGTTTTAAACGTTTACTCCATAAAATAGCTTACGTGTATCGCTTGACAATAAATAAATTCATAGAAAATCTGCGCCCCATAGTTGTTACACCTTGCACTCCTTCAATATGAAACCTTTTGCCTCTTCCTCAATGAAAATAAGCAGGGTCGTTTGAAAAGCCACACTTCATTAGCTGTATTCAAAAGACGCTCTTTTCGCACTCTGTTCCAAACTCATTGTACATGAAGCTATTACGCATCCAGGCCAGATGGTGAGGAATTTACTGTTTATACCTCCAGAACAGCTCTTGGAACTAACATTAATATTTACGATATACAAGAAAGAGAACGGCAGAATTTGGGAGGAGCCTATCGTGTACAGTTTCTTATTGGGCGACAGTAACGTTCTCACGTCGCTACGGTTTAACGGACTTTTGAAACGAAGGAACACTATTGGGACCATCGAAGGTGGCAAGTTAAGAAAAAGGTTTACGGTAGCACCTTGCGAGGATATCTCTTTCCCTAGTATGTGTGGTTCTGAAGAACCTGAAAAGAACCGGAGGGTACCCAACGTACCTAATGGTCTCTCTTCCTTTAGAAGACTTCGGAACATACTGTCCGAAATGTTCTTGGTTTTTTCAGAACGCACACTGGAGCCAGAGATATCCTTGACTGGGGTGCTATCGCAAACCTTTTTCTTAACTTGCCATCTGGATTGTCCATTGAAATGTCGCTGGATTCTTCTACACGTGTCAAAGCCTTTCAGATTGGTGTGTACAAGCAAGTCTTTCGTTACAACGTCAAAGAATAGCGACTTTTGTGTGTATTTTTTTTAAATTACTGTTGCCTGTTGTGAGTTTTTTGTAGACACATTCACGTAAAATCTCATTCACCGCCTTCACTGTCTTAAACAGTTCAAGAGAATTCAGTTTTGCAAGTACTGTGCTTGTGTTATTTTGGGGGCCATCACTGAGATTCCACCTTTTCCATCTGCAACAATTGATCTTGAAACTGGAAACTCACCCGCTAACCCAGAAGCCAGGACAATCAAGCAAAGTGTCAAAAGAGCCATCCGTTCCAGTGTCGTCCCTTGTTCTCACTATTGTATCCTAGTGTTGACTGTTTGTGGCGGTAGCACCTGGCTTGTAGCACTTAGCAAGTAGCTTCTGATCAGTGTTGGTCATAAAAATTGTTCTTTCCTTGCCCCGTACCTGCAGTGCACGACTGCTCAGGCAGATTCCAAAACAACCGTTCAAACAGCAAAGCGTACAGATATACATATTGCAGTGGTTGCTCGCATGCATGAGTGATATTACGATATTGCATAAATAATGAATAACAGGTTTGCGGGTATGTGAAATGGATCTTTTCTACAAGAGTGGGTCGGTGGGGTGGGGGGTTCCGAGAAGAACCGGTGAGTGTAAACTCGACGTTTCGACCAGATTGCTCCGGTCATCCTCAGGAGAGATTTCATAGGATGTACCCACAAGCCTTACCTCTTATTTTAGCTTCCATCATGCAAAGTTTCAAATTTGATAATGAATGTTTATGACTGAAATAGTCAGAACAAGTTCATGACTTGGAAGATGAAAGGTTCAATTACACGAGGCAAAGCCGAGTGGAATGGCACGTTTCATCTGTCACCGAATAAAATGATTCTTACCATTGCATCAATGTGAAGCATTTGTTATTTGTTTTATAAAATACCTGCATAAATCCTCTTCTATCAGAAGGACAAACAGGTCCCGCTCACTTGTTAATGTCCGTCATTTTTCCATACAAATTCCTGTCCAAAGCGCCACCCACTAAGTAGTTAAAGGCACATTCTCCGCTGTTTTTGAGACGTGTGGAGTGTTTGTGATAATGATATATATGAATTTTCTTCGTGGCTGATTTTTGTCTATAAATCAAGAAAAATCTTAGAAATGGCGACAGTAAGGTGATATTTAGGCCTATTGCGGTTTTCTCGTGTCGCTAGCCAAAGCGCGTTTCATGAATACTCTCCTATTCGTCCGTCATGTGTGCATACCAGTGATTACCCTATTTTATTATTAGCCCATAATATGCCCAAAATATGAAATAAATTGGAAAAGATTAGCTTATTTATTTGTCCTTATCGCCTTCAGAGCACATGTCGCCAATTTCATAACCAGACATGTTCCATTTTTTTCGAAACGACAGAAAGACGTAACATTTGAGGAACATGCCTTTTGAAGTTGCTCACAGACTAGACCGAACTGGGGATTATATTGTACATATGGCATAAATCTAATACGTTTTGAACTAAGAAAATACAAATATTAGCCAAAAGATTCCCATGTGTTACGTATGTGTAGCGCCAGCTACGTTACCTATATTCCCTTTCCTCTGGAGACACGCGATGGCAGCTGACCTCAAACAAGCACACCAGTCAACAGTGTGTTGGATGATGACTGATCGAGTGGTGGAAGAAATAGGTAGGGTTACACATTATTTCAACATAAGCGGGCCTGATACGTTACACCAGATACGTTACTCATTACGAATTCGTCGTGCAAATTTTAGGCTGACGTCAACAAACATGAGAAAATCTCATCAATTTCCGGTTTTCTACACATGTAAAAGGTTCTTGCACATTTGAATCATAGTGCGTAATGCTTGCCGAGAAGAATTGTATATTTTGTGCTTTTGTGTTTTGTGTTTATTCTTGAAGTTATGATGAATAGCATTATAGATTTTTTATCGTAAAATATTGAAGTTGTACAATCTGTAGATAAAGATTTTAAGAGGTAGGTAATTGTAATTTCACGAAAAATGGATAACATAAAACCAACGTTGTTATTTTGCATGGAATATCTCACTATAGTACGGTAACGTATCTAATCAGTTCCACTATCAAAATGATGTTTTTGTTGTCAAACAGAATCAACGAAATCTCTTAATTCAGTCTGCCTGTCACACTATGTACCAATGAAATTCATATGTACTTAAATATCCCCAAAATCTTATTTAAAAATATGAATTTCTTGAAGTGGACTTACAGTAACGTATCTGTTCGTTCCCAGACGTTTTGGAAGGCTTAGTTTCAATTAGTAGTTGTTTTCCAAAAGAGTATTTAAAAATCTCCTGTGTATTATTCTATGTATTACGAAAATGTACATTATAATGTACAACATAGAATGACGAAATAGGGATCTTTTCCGCTATGTGAAACAATTCAAAAGTGACTTTTATTGATTTTAAAATTGTCGATATTTGGCTTTGTTCGTGTGTAGGGTGTACAGATTTTTAGCTTTTGACGATGCTTTTGTCGTATGAAGAGTGTAGAGTTTTCAATAACATCATTACTATGATTGATTACAGCAGTTACGCAGCTTTTGTGTAAGTGCTGCTGACTGCGTTGCCCCCGTACATTTATTTTAATCAAGAAAAAGCCAGTATTTTTTAATGTACCTGTCAAATACCATCATGAAAATCCCTCTTTTCAAAGTCTGTCTTTCACGATGTGTAGCCCCCAAATTCAAAATGACTTAAATCTCCCCAGATTTTGTTTCAAAAAACAATTTTTGTATACGTAGAATGGTGGTAAAATACGTTTTAGAACGTACGGTATTTATGCCGAAAAATATGGTTGAGTTAAAAATCAGTCCAGTGTTGGTCCATGTCTTGGAGCTAATAAACTTTACCATTTTGAGCAGATTTCGTACATTCCTTGTAGTTGATATTTTGCAAAGTCCTAATCCCAACTTGAACACTTGCAAAGAATGTGCCTAAAGTTCGAACGAATTCAGATTTATGCGACTTAAAGAGAAATGCTGCTGTGTATACCAAAGTTTGATAAATGCAGGTGTACATGAAAAGATTTCATCATCTTCTTAATAAAGAGGTACAAAAAAGAAACCGTCTGTCCCCAATTAACCTTTCAATAATAGGTGACAGGACCATCTTTCAAAATTAACAAGAAAAAAACAAGAACACCTTTCCCATTTATGGCCGAAAAAGTCCCAAACATGGGCTTCAGTTCTCGAGTCAATTTTTCGCCGATTTTAGAAACGTTCATTATGTATTAATGACATGCAGGTGACCCCAAACCGTCATGGGGAGATACGCTTGTAAACTGTGTACATTTCACACAAGTCTCGTAGTTGGGGCAAACTCAAAATGTAAATTTTTGCTCGGTCCTTGTATGTTGATTGTTCAATCTATCAATTTAAAGTGCACGAGTTATTATGTTTTAGTCATAAAATAAAACATACCCCGGTCTTGTGCAGTTTGTAGTTTCGGACAGAGTCATAGGGCCTACATTGAGACTTGGTCTCGACGTTTCCATGCAAAACCGTGTTGAATCGATCGTTCCCAGACAGCGCATTAAAAGTAGATTTTAAACCTTCCCGGTTGTCGCAAATGAAAAATACTGGATTGCTGAGGACTGCTTTGACATATCCAGCCTGCAAAAGCACTCCAAACTGCGACGCACAGGACTTAAGTCTCGCTGACTGCTTGTGTTGTATTGCATCTGACGGTACAGCGTATGTATTCAGTACTGTGCTGCTGGATCACTGCCAGGTTTGTGTTTGGGACCGTCACAGCACTGAGCCCCTCAACACTGCCTGGTTGCTTGCCGTTGTCCTCACTCTTTCATAGGAACTGAATCTACTCACTTTCACGAGAAGAATCTTATAATTATGGGCTTATCTTCCTTCGACACACTGAACATAGTGGGCTTGGCAATAAGCAGGCCCGGACGCTTGCACACATCACAAGGTACATGATCCCCGGGATTCAGCCCAAGATTCCAGACTGGTTACTGACTCCTACACTGACCGCCTTATTATATAAATAGTCTGTTCCGACACTGTAAATGAACACGAGTGCACTTGTAGCGTTTTTCCCCCTTGTAAAAATAAGAACACTTGCATCTACAGTAGATTAGGAGCCTTTAACTTTTGACCCTGTAATGTCAAGCCTCCTAATTGATTTAAGAGCACTCCTACATAAGGTCCCACTTTTGTTGCTTTGGCCTTCTTACCACATTCCTCTTGCAGACTTCTGGTCTAGGATTTATTACCCTTGTTCTTCCGGCCTGTGTTCCAACCCTATTTTCACCACTTGGTCATTTTTAGCCAGTCTCATCACAACCACTCTCCAAGCAACATCTCTACGCGCAGTACTCCAACTCTCTCTTGTACCAGCTGTAAAATAGTTTAGAATAAAAGTTCCTTTCTTCAAAGTTAGTACCTGTTGTCAACATTGTTCCTTTTTATACAACACTACTAAACACTCTCCACCTTTAATGTCTCGTACTTCATCATTTCGGAACAAATATCACAATTATTTTGATCAGCTAAGAGTAAGATTTTACTGAGGTTTATACATCTCAGAGATTAATGTAGAATATTTTGCATTTTCTACACGTCACTAATACTCTTTTTAATGCATTTGGACAACGATGTCAGCTTACATGTATCTTCATGCCTGCTTCATGCAAGCCTGCTGTGCCTTTCTCCCTATGACGTCATCAACCCACGTAAACGCAAAAATTGACCTTGTGTGTTTCTGAAATCGGCCCAGTTAGTTGTGGAAAGAAACTTCTCCACCTCATATTTCTCTCGTGTTAATTTTCAGAGAATAAATCCATTGTATACTGGTTTTTGGGTGGCCAATCTACCTCCCAAACCCTAGATAGCGAGATATTGGAAGCCTTTTTAATACCACTTTAAGGTCGCCTTTGAAGAGTTCGCCTTTGTTCGCCTTTGTGAAAGATGCTTTTATATGGAAAATGTTGCATCGCTCATTCGATTTCCCAGGAAAAGGCATGAAGGGGTTGCTGAGGAATTCATTTATGATTTTTTCAATCATCTCTTGAGGCATTGTGGCATGTCATTATTCGTAACAAGTCTAAGCAATCTCAAGGAAATATCGGAGAAATTACCAGAGGGAAGTGTTCCCGATGTTTCAACAACTGCCTAAAACATGCATGATCTGGTGTCTTACACGTCAAAAGGTTAGTGGATGAAACAATTTAACTGCGCCAATTTAACTGAAACAACTTAATACGGCAGATCAAAATAAACAGTAAACAAAGAAAAATGAACGCACCATATCAAGATGTTGTTCAACAATTAAATTAGGTTTGTGGTTTCACTATCTCTTTCAGTGAGTGTTAAGGTTCTGAGTACAATCGGAAAGTAAGATCTGAAGCTTTACACGGTGGAAGTTACGTGAGCTGTAGGTTTGTGGGTACGCCATGGAAACTATCTCTTCAGAAGAGGTGTGGTTCCTGAGGACGACCAGAGCATCCTGAGAGGTGAAGCTTATGATTGAAGGATCACCGGGGGGGGGGTTCTGCGCCGAACCGTGTCGGAGTGGACTGCTGTTTGTGCTCGTTGGAGTGTGGTCCTGGATTCTGTATCCTGGCTTTGCAGTTATGCCGTGGGTGTGCTCTCATGTATGTCAGTGTGACAAGAGCCTGCCAGAGAAAGCTATTTGTTCCCTGAATCTATCATATTCAGTGTAATTTATTAAATACGTTGTTGCCGGACCATTTTGAGTGCCAAAGAAGACTTCACAGAGATTTCAGTCAAGTATACAGGGGACGGGCCACACTATACCCACATGAGCAAGAATTTATTGACCCCCCGCAAAAATTAAGGTGAATAGTACATGTACAGTATTATTCAGACTTTCTACACTGTAAAAACAAGTGTAAAATGTTTTAAGGGCATTAAATGCCTTCCTGGTAACACTTTATGAATGTGAAGGCTGAACACGTTGTGCTTATTTTTTTAACGAATGTGTGTTGATGTGTTAAGATAATGTAGACACAACGACACATTTGGTGTCAATAACAAGACACAAAAACCCATATATTGGACGGTAACCTTTTTCTGAAGACCGAAACGCCTTCATTTTTTATAAAGGCGTTTAATTTAAAAGTTTACGTGTTTACAATTAACGCAAAGACGCTTTTATAATGGGCGTTGGTTTTTACAGTGCACCAACCAGAATGTATTTCAGTAGCACTTAAAAAGGGAACAATGAAATAAGCCATAAATATGCCGTTTTGATGTACGAATCTGTAGGAATAATACAGTATTACAGATGTACATCTGCATCATGAACATCACCCCTAGTGTACTGTCATGGTGTCAGCACCACCCCCTGCTTCTCAAATTTCCACGGCCGGGCAAGTCATACCCTCTAAATTCCCCATCCTCCCATTTCCGGCACAAATTTACGCAACTGATTGAAATCGACACGAACCTTTTAAATGTCCTTATTGAACGTGTACATATCGCCCTTGTGTATATATAAAGTCATTTCACATATGTTCATAGGGAGCATTAGAAATGGTGCAGATGCGCGTAACATTATCTGGCTGGAAAATCTGGCTGGTTAAAATCACTGATTTAAAATTTAAAATCACGGACTTCTGTATACACGAACATATTGATGAATGCACATTGCTAGTGTGTGGGATAAAATAACCTCAAGAAACTTTGGTTCAACCACCCATTTTTGAGCTGCGTTAGTATCCCCAGCGTGCACCATTGTAATTATACCTTAAGTGTGCAAGATTTGTGCTTATCAACGGCAAAAAGCAACAGGCCTGGAGGTGTCTGATTTGATATTTATCTACTTCCATTCGCCTCAGTTAGGGGATATAATAAGAGACATTTTAATACAAGTGATGAATTGTGGAGGTTGGCAAAAAGCAGCTGCTTGTACTTTGCTGGGTCCCCGTGATCTTACATTTTTACTAGTACAATGGTAAAGAAAAAAGCAAAAGCTTGGGTCGCAAAACGAGGCGTCGTTTTTGTTCATTTTCAGAAAAAAGAGCAAAGATAATAAAAACGATTATAACTAAATCTGATTTATGAAGGACATGTCGATATTAGAGCATGCACAGTAAAGTAGTTCACGTAGCTCAAGGCTGTTCAGCTGAGAATGCATTTTATCCTGGCGGTGTTTAATTAATTGTCCTATGACGTAAGACCAAGAAGTAAGTAACTCGCTTGGCCAAAAGCATTGCCTCTTTTGTGTGGATTTGTAGCATGAACAAAGAAAGGTTCAAGAGAGCTGGCAAGCCAAGTGGTATGTACCAGGCAAGATATGGACGGAGGGGTACTTCCCTTACCTGTCCAATGCCCGTACACGCTCTAGACTATTGTTACCTAACACGTCCCCCCCTAGAAGTCTGTAAAGAATTCCTGAGATTCCGATCAAACAATGATCAACACAAAGGTGGGGGGGGGCTCTCTCCGTCCATATCTTGCTTCAAATGAAGTGGCGTACCCTTACTGTGTAGTGTGAAAACACTGTCAAGCTTCCACCCCCTTCCCCACCGCCCTTTATGGATGAAAGCGTCACTGTCATTATGCCAACGTTTTGTATTCAGTTGTTCGTCGACGTACGTTCGCTGTGAAAAGGTTGATCAATTTAGGGTTGATATTTTGCCCTATGTTGGTGTAAAATAAATAACTTCATAACCATCAAATTCTTCCCAATCGTTGGTCAGTGTTTGACCCACAGTAATGGAAATTAACCAACAATGTGGTAACTTTAACCAAGGTTGGGCAAATAACAAATGTCCAACACTGTTTGACCAACTTTGTTTTTTATATCGAATAGTTAAATACTGCATGGGTCACCACAGAGTTGAAGCCGGATAAGATTTTCCCCGTGTTTTTCTCCATGGAGGTTTTTTGCGGGGATTTCGCCCCTCCCGTATGTAAGATTAAATTGGTGTCAATATACTGTTTAGTATACATCAAGAAAATTGATTCTTAATATTTTCTACTATGCCTGGGGGTCACACCCCCTCAAAATCCACATTATCCCTTTAAAATTGCTTAAATAATGTAAGTTGAAGTTCACCTCTGTTTGGAATAGTTGCAATTAACCAAGAAATTGTCTAAAAGGTTTTAAGTCAAATTGTTATTTTACTGTGTTCAGTAACGCAAGGACTTGCAAAGATATTAAAAGATGTTTAATTGTAACCGATGTTTAATTGTAACCATGACAGGTCGATGGCAGGTCGATGACAGCTTCAAGAAAACAAACTTACATATCCATCTGAACAGATGTATTTAATTAACCAACATAAATTGAAGAGTTAAATTGTATCATAATATTTAATACAATAAACAAATGTATAATAAACGGACTCCTAAGCCCAGACAAATAAGGGTATGCATGCAGCAGTTATTTGGTTGTTGAGACACGTCAATACGTCAATAAACTATTTTATGATAAATCCAAAACCTGTAAGCATTTATTTCATGCCTTGCGTCAGAAAATACACTAAATATATTAGTTTAAAAACACACATTTTTCAATTGAAAAGATTAATGTTGCCAAATTTAACTTTTTCCACGGTAAATTAAATTTTCCTAGTTATATAAATAAAAAATAAAGTAAAAATTGACATTTCTTTATTTAAAAAAAAATTGACAGGGGAGCTCCGAATGCACATGCCTTAATATCATGGCAGTAAGCTCCCCAACGTATTTTGCGATGGTGGGTTTATTATTACGATTTTTCTTACAAGAAGTTGCGAAAAAAATCCCTTTTGTCGGATATCGCACGATGGGTAGGTGGGATTTACACGCTGCCCTCTATATATCAGCCTACCTGTACTCAAGGTACTTAACTTGTTCAACCAGCGTGGCATGTGGAAGGAACGCGTTATTTTATAACGCCTATTCTCAGAGTTGATGTGACATCAATCAGACCGCGTTGTCAGCAGTCCTCGTCAGCATGGCAGAAGGAATGATTGTCTTGGTGACGCTGACAATAATTCGTCTGGCTTGTGGTTCAACAGGTAAGTGTTGTAGTGAGTTGTTGCTCAGTGAGTGAAACACAATTTTGCAGAGATTCGGTGGGAGGATTAAATGGGAAAAGTAAAACACAAATTTGCAGATAGTACTGGCCAAAAAGTGAAATAAAACACGACAGTGTTTGTGTAGCAGTACTGTAGCTTAACTGGGGAGCCTTTTCTGAGGGGGCTCTTGGGACTGCACGTTTGAAGGGGCAATAAAAGCAAATGATTAAAACTGTGGTTTTACATGTACTTGGCTGGTGAACATTTCAACCTTTCGGGGGGGGGCTTCAAAAACGTATCCGAGATACAAGAGTTTATAGCACAAAAGGAGAAGCAAAAATCCCAAACATTCGGGCCATTGTGTAACATCACTGACGTGGAATCAAGGTCCAATCCAGGGGGAGGGCCAACAGGAGCCATGCCCCCCCCAAAAGTAACTCAAATTTTGTTTTGTTTTAAAATTCTAAGTTAATGTAGTTTCACTCTTAAGAAAGACCTTAAAAGGTCACATCAAAGAATTTCCAAAATTTTTGTCCAGCTTAAAACAAGTTTGGCTCCGCCGAACATTTGGCACTGGGTCGTTCCTTGCACGAATTGAAAAATGTGTTGGCACTGACAGACTGACACTGAAAAATATGTCGTAAAAGCTGAAGGACTACACTGTACCCAGTGGTGGACGCAGAAATTGTATCGCCATAATTTATAGGCGTGTTGAAATTCTTTAAAAAGGAAAAACTTGCCATTTAGGCATGTTTAAATAAAAAACAATTTTTCCATATAGGTGTGCTCAAGTTAAACGTTCATGTGAGGAATGTTTATTGGAGACTTGTGTGCAACTTTATAGTCTACTTTAATAATGAAACTTTGCGTACGTCCCTTTGTTTTAGTATTCAAAGAAGCAGTTCATTAAAACTGCACTTTTGAGTAGTTCCCACCCCTTTCCCGAGCATTGTGAATGCGATGGTGGATTCAGAACCAACTTTTCAGGGAGGACAAAATTGTCAGGGGCATCAAATTGTTTAAGTCAGCTTCTATGGTTTTTCGTCTGAGTATTAAAGGCTACACTGGAATATTGACGTGCCTTTGGAAGAGAAATAAAATCGACCAACGCTTTTGCCTTTCTTTCAGCCTATTTCTTAAGAAACCTTTTTGCCTCCTTTTTATGGAATCCGCCCTTGTGTAAGCGTTGCTGCGATTTTATTTTACATAGGATGTGATTTACTGGCAAATTTACAGCTTTTTTTCCTACAACTTTGGGGTCGTAATTTTTCAACTTAATTTGAAAAATTGGCAAAATACATTAAAAAGTTTTAAAATATATCAATAGAATAGTTTTAATGCACACATTAACAGAATATATTGGAAAAACTAAATTTCCCTTTTTTCAGAGATAGTATTTTCTTCCATACTTTGACTTCAGGTGATGTTAACAGTGGTTTACTAAAATATTAATTGCATGAACAGAACGTCTTCGAGAAAGTTACAATGCTAGAAAACCAGAACTATACCATTGGCTTGTTAAACATTAAGCCGTATTATGTGATATGGAAAAGTACAAGTATCTTTCTTAATTAATAATATATTTAATTTAATAATTACCGAATTTCATGTGGAACTGTTGTGTAAACGTCGGGAGAGGTAAGATATAAGCAAAGAGTCAGGCTATACTTCTTTATGAAAAAACCAATGAAATATCAATTTTGGCACCAAAAGGGAACAAACATACTGTACTGCCAAAAAATGTACAGACAAGGAATCTGAAGAGGAGTTGTCGGAAATGGACACAGGTTTAAAAATTATAGGAAATGACCTTCTAATCATGTTGTTTTTGAAAGTGCAGGTCATAACTGAGAATGGTTAAATTAAACAGGTCTACGTATACACGTAATTGAAATCATTATAGATTAAATTTTCGTCTGCTCAAGCTGAACAGCCATAACCGTCATTCAGCCTTGAGGTGGGTGAAAGTAGTAAATTTTTAATGACTGACCTCATAAAATACGAAAGTCTAGAAACATAAATAAATTTCGCGAGGATCTAAACACAACACCACGTATAACACAATTTTTCTCCATTATTAAGATTTTTAAATAACGGTAAATCTCAGAGCCGTATAAAAAGTGGATTTTAAGGACCCTTTCTAACGACGAAAAAAATCGAAATTGCCAAATTTTTCACTGATTTTATCAATTGATTTTGAATAGAAGAGATGTTTTTTGAGAAAAATGTACCACCAAATTCAGTAATTTGTTTGAATCCGCCGGATAAAACTTTTAATAATCAGCTCATTTTGCATCACCCCAAAATCGTATCGATTCTGCGGTGCACGAAAATTCAGTTTCATTTTTATATCCATTTTTATTACCAAAGTGGTATCCAACACGAGGATGATGATTTTCTGTTAGATTGTACCGATTTCGTTAATACTGATACCATTTCATAAGGTAGAATCGTTATATAAGTGACATTTTCTGTTCATCACTTGCGCTGCTGTGGACAATGGCCAGTGTGGACACTGACCAGTGCCGTACCGAGACATCAAAGTCGTCGCTTCCGCCCCAGCACATGTACACCAACATGTGCATGTACATGTCACGCGCACACAATACACGCATACACGACTGTGCTTGAACCCGTGACTCGCCGCTACAAGAATGTCACTCAGAAGTCTGCCCTTACAAGAGTATGGTGCAAGGGTATCCTTTTTTGTCAAAAGTTTGACAAGGCAATAATTCCTGACTCTAAGAATTGAGTTTTGGTAGGACATAGGCCTACAATTTTTTTAGATGCGACATGTGACGTATTTTTCCATTACAAAATGTCTGGATTCACGCGAATTGGCTTAATTTTGCTTCAAATTCAATGTTATTTTACAAACAAATTATCCAGCGGATTATAATATATGCTCCGTTTCCTGGAAATCCATTAACAAAGTTGACGCTTCATTTTGCAATCAAAGCTCGCAAAATCAGACATGGCCTGTTGCTATGCCGTTGTTAAGTGGCAAATCTTGCGCACGCGCAGTTTGGTAACGAGCTTCATGATCATATCCATTAATCTCCATTATGATCGAGATCAATGGTGTATCCATGTACCAGCGCGTGATTTACGCAGTGGGCATTATCACTTCCCTTGATCTCCATTATAATGGAAATCAATGATCACTTCTCAGCGGGCATTATCAAATGGCAATATACGGTCACATGATGCGTTTTGACCAATAGGAATAGAAAAACTGTCCCAGGCATTATGAATCAAGCATAATAGTTAATTGCTACACTCACCACCGCCTGCTTGTACGCAAATTTAACCCTGCCGGCCGTCAGAATGATTTTGTTTCAAATTTAATTGCGATAAACATAAAAACTAGGCCTACAAGTCTAGTTGGTCGACAGCTATCAGTTGACACAATGATTAAATGAATATGATATAGGTCGTATACATGCTTCACAAAAAACGATTTGCTTCAGCCTGAATTTGACATGAGAACTGATACGGCAATGATAGTTCAAACATAATCTCATCCCCTGGGATTACGTCATTTTCCAGGTCGTTCCAATAGTAGGAGAGCAGGCTGTGGGGAGCTCTGCTTGACATCATGGGAACGATGTTAGTTCTTAAATAGCCGCTCTGACAACTAATATAATGCGCAGGTGCGATATTCCCACTTATCTATTTCCCGACCATATTCAAATTTTTGCGTTTAAGGCATTCACTTTTTTCCATTGCGCACGTTTATGGCTGCATTCGTGATTGTTGCCGTGTTGGCCACTTTTTTTCCATATAAGAGATTCTCTTTTGACTTATATTAAGTTGAAAATAGTACGTTTTACAAGGGCGGATCCAGAGCCCAATTTTAGGGGAGGAAGTGGTTTCATTTATACCTTTCTGAGAGGTGAGGCTACATTTGTTGGACTTTTACAGCCCTTTCGCTCATCCTCACAAGAATTTTGTTTGAATACAGCTCGTTAAATGTGAATTTTCAAACGACCCTGTTTATTTTCATTAAAGAATAGGCAAAAGGTTTCATATTGTTGGAGTGCATGGTATATCTGCCTATTAAAGGGGATGCGAATTTGCTATGAAATTATTGTCAAGTGATACACGTATTTGACAATTTTAATATGAATATGTTATCGTTAAAAAGCGTAAACCTTTAAACACAAAACTCTCCGACATGTTATTCGAACTGACAAACAAAATGCTCAGGTAATGGCCGTATGCAAGGGTTTGGGTGACGTCCCAGTGTTCCGTATGTGTATCTTCGGCCGTGACAAGGGTGGATCGTATAGCTCAGTAATGGATCCGACTGAATTAAGTCAGAAGACACAGAAGATTGGTCTATGTTCAAATTACATGTATATCTAATGCCAATGTGATAAGCAGACCTGCTGTGCTTTCGTCGTGCTTGTTCAAAAGCGATTTGATTTAGTCACATAAATTCACCATCTACAGTCGAATTATAATCAAGTAGTAGGCCTACGTGTTCAAATAAAAACGAGATTCGGTTAGGTTGTGGAAAGCACCGTCTGATGATATTCAGGCGTGGTGTTCACAGTCAAATGAGATTTAGTTGGGCCATAGAAATCACTGTCTGATGATATGCAGATGTGGCGTTCACAATCAAGTGAGATTTTGTTGGGTTCTACAAAGGACCGGTTGATGTTAATCAGGCGTTGAGTACAATAAAATTTGCCCCACTGAGTTCTTTACATTCACGTGAACACATCAATTTGAATTCTTTATACTATAATAAAGACACTGTTGCTATACCTCGTGATTCGAGGCAAGCTGTTGCTTGTAGTTATATAAGAGACGCGTTCATTGATACACTGTTTTCAATGGATAAGAAGGGCACAAAGGAACCAGTCCTTTTTCAGAGATGGCAGTCGCTATGCAAAAGCTTGCCCCAAATCATAACGTATGGCAACATGGCTTTAGTCTCTAGAATTCGAATTATGTTTATGTACAGTCAGATAACCCAAGGTACCAGATTTTATTCAGATTTAACTCGCAAGAGGCTAATTTGATTCAGTCTCTTTTAATATTATAAACCCACGTTTACATTTTTGGGAACAAAGTTACAATGGATAACTATGCACCTCTGGTACAAATGTCCAGAGATGAAAGACATAATACTTTAGCCGTTGGGACCACGTAGTCAGTTATATGGAGCTAAATGCTCTTCCACAAGTCCGATTCACATTATGGATAATTTTAACTGCACTTTTATTTAGTGGGGAACACTAATTGTCTGTTCCTCCCTGGTGCAACACGTGGCTTAAAGAGCCACTCAACTGACATTCATTTGCATGCTTAATTCGGCTACACGCGTTTAGCATTTGCATTACGTACTGAATGGTACGGATTTACAGTGTGCATCCCTCTGCGGCTCTCAGAACAGCTCGAAACAAACGTGAATATTTGCGAAGCACATTCAAGAGAATTGTCACAGTTGATTGAAGCCTATCCTGTATAGTTCCTCATTGGCGACAACAAAGTTCTGACGTGGCAACAGTTTTACCTACGTTCAAAACGAAGGAACACTAAGTGGACATATGCACAGCAAGATTGTTTTGTCTATGGCACTTTTTTATACTTAAACTTGTGCAGTACACCACCCTTCAGAAAAGTCTTGCATTAATCTAGCGAAAAAAAACTTTATGTAGGCCTAAAATGTTCCTTAACATGCCATGCTGCTTGATTAAGGCAAATATTGTCACACCTCTGGGGAAAAATGTGATTGTGGTAAGCTCAAATGATCATCTTGTTGCAAATTTCAATTCATCCTTAACAAGAAACAATGGTTTGAGTTTACCCCAAGTTACTCCATTACCTCCCACCTTCCTTACTTTCAACCTTCCCTCACCT